ATTGCCATTTTTACCATGTTAATCCTACCTGTAGGGTAAAAGGGCCAGCCAAAGAAACCCACCCTAGCCCTGAAACCAGAGCCAGTGAAACAAACCCACCCAGACCCTGAAACAAGAGCCAAAGAAACTCACTTTGGCCCTGGAACCAGAGCCAGTGAGTGAAAAAAACAAACAAACAACAACAACAAAAAAAAAAACAAAACCACTTTGTCCCTAGACCCAGAACCAAAAAAACACACCCTGGCCCTGGAACCCAAAGCCAGTGAAAGAAACACTTTAGCCCTGAAGCCATAACCAAAGAAATACACCCTGATCCTAAAACCAGAGCCAAATCTGCCACTGGCCAACTGAACACAAAATTTCTGAAAGGAAAACTAGTCAATCTGAGCTTGTCCAAGCTCAAGGGGATCAAAATTTGATCAATTCCCCTCCTGAAAATCCGCTCCCTGAAAAAACTCCACCCCTAAGAAGCCCTATATAAGTCCCTCTGCCTGTTCAGTTATCGGCTGTCCTTCTCCACCCTGCAAGAAGCAGCCACTCTCCTAAATTTCTCCTTCCCAGATAAATCTTTCTTGAAAGAGTTTTGGGTGAAGATCTTTTGCTGGTGTGGAGCAGAATCTCTATTGGCACATTCCCTTCTTTCCTTAGCGGAGCTGAGGGAAAGAAGAAATAGATACTTCCGCTGAGAAACTCCCTTGGGAACAGGCAGATGTAACAACTTATTGCTGGATCCAGAGGAGAGCGCTACATTTCTTCAGGGGGTTCCCCTTTTGCAGAGAGAAGAAGAAGCAATAACATCTTGGACCAGAGCTGAGAAGAAACAGATACCTCTGCTGGGACTTTCCCTTAGGGGAACAGCGCAGAAGAAGAAATGGGATACCTTTACTGAGAAGCTCCCTTGTGGGGACAGAGCAGAGCTCAGCTGCAGCAGCTCTCTCTTGGAAGAGGAGCAGGATTGTTACATCCTGCAGAGAGACTATTCCCCATCACAGCCCAGCTTCAGTTACAGCCTGACACCCTGAAACTCAGGATACCTTCCCAGGATACCTCCCTTCACAGCTGCAGGTACGGCCTGACTTCCCGACAAGTCAAGATGCTTTCCCTCCAGAGCTATAACATTTGCACTACCTACCCAAGAGCATGGGAGGTCTTTCCATTTCCTGCTTCTTCTTCAATTTCTTTCTTCAAAGACTTGAAGTTCTTGTCATACAGGTATTTTTCACTTTTTTAGTTAAAGCTACCCCCAAGATATTTTATATTATTGTGGCCATTATAGGGAGTGTTGTTTCTCTGATTTCTTTCTCAGCCCATTTATCATTTATATATGAGGGCTACTGAATTTATCTTAGTTAATTTTGTATCCCACCACATTACTGAAGGTGTTTATCAGCTGTAGGAGTTCCCTGGTAGGATTTTGAGGGGTCGTGTATGTATACTATCATATCACCTGCAAATAACAAAAGTTTGACTTTTTCCTTTCCAATTTGTATCCCCTTGATCTCTTTTGGTTCACTTATTGTTCTAGCTAGAACTTCAAGTACTGTGTTGAATTGCTACAGAGAGTGGACTGTCTTGTCTTATTCCTGATATTGGTGAAATGACTTCGATTTCTCTCATTTAAGTTGATGTTGGCTATTGGCTTGCTGCATAATACTTTTAATGTGTACAGGTATGTTCCTGTATCCCTGGTCTCTCCAAGACCTTTATCACGAAGAGGTGTTGGATTTTGTCAAAGACTTTTTGGCACCTAGTGAAATGATCATGTAGGTTTTTTTTTATTTCAGTTTATTTATGTGGTTGTTGCGGAAGCTCCTTCTGCTCCTTCAGCCAATAGCTGCTAAGATACCAGCCCATTGGGGCGTGGTCTCTCTCTCTTTAAAAAAGCAGCAACTGCCCTCCACTCGCTGTCTGGCTTCCTGTTCTGCTTCCAGTGACTAGGCTCCCTTCCTGATTACACAGAGGACTGTTGTCTGGGACAGTGATCTGTAAGTTTTTCCCCTTTAAATGAATAACCATTCTATTAATCATAATTCCAAACTGGTGTGGGATTGTTTGTGACTTATGCCTTCATCTGGCACCCACGTGTTTAACTGCATCCACAGAAAGCCTGAGAAAGCTTGGGAAAGAATAAAGCATGTTTTCTTGGTAGCAGCAATTTCTCGGGTCTGCTCTGCTTGCTAGAGGCAAGCAAGCACTCTTATCTAAGAGAGGCTTCCTGACTCAGCTTTAGCTGCAAAACCTTGCAGCTCTTTTAAGAGGTCCTTCCATGAAACACTTAAACAGTGTTGATAAAAAGTTGAACACATGATTTTTGGTTTTTAGCTGTAGCAGGAAAAAAGCTGTACCGCTTTAAAATGCCGGCTTTCTGGGCCGTCCTGCCAGGGCAAACTCTGACTTTTTCAATCAAGCAGTCCTGACTATGGAACTTTTGAGTGTTGTTTGTGGACACATGGTTGCAGCTTGCTTGCTGGCAAGGACCTTGAAATGCCATAGAGTTGTGGTGGTAACGTGGCTACAGCTGGTGCCTCTACCACGAGGCTGGAAAGCTAAGAAGTGGGCTGGATTTAGCCGTCAAAGTCACGGCTTTAATTCTAACCATATTGCTTGGTAAATTAAAGACTCATGTAGTCAGAAAAAGAGATACAGTAAAAGATTCAAAGTCGAAGAAAACCTCTAAATGGTTTACAGTGTGTTGTGTAGGCTAAAGGTTAAAGTTCTTAAAAAAGAAAGAGAATAGTTGGGTGTGGTAGTACACACCTTTAATCCCAATACTTGGGAGGCAGAGGTAGATTGACCTCTGTGACTTTAAGGCGTGGTAGCTCACACCCATAATCTGAATGCCTGGGAGGCAGAGGCAGACAAACCTCTGTGACTTCAAGGTATGGTAGCACACACCTTAATCCCAGCACTGGGGAGGCAGAGACAGGCAGATCTCTGTCTCAAAAAGTAAAAATTAAACAAATAGAGGTTAAAATAAAGCCATGTAAAGATGAAAAATACACAGAGAATCTTGATACTGTATGTTATTATGCTCTCTTTGAATTGTTTTAATGCTGAGGAAGGAGCAACAGCTACTAAAAGATATTTGCTTATGAATGCTGCTGAATTAATCCAACATAGGTATTTTGAAAATACCTTGGCTTCAAAATTGAAGCCAAAAGGTATGTTACTTTGGAGGATTTGCTTTTGATTTCTACCTCTGATTAAGATACTTATATATTGTTTATGTATTGATATATATTTACCATATTGCGATGTATATTTGTACATTGTTTTTATTTGGAGGTCATATTGTCCTCGTTTATTGCACAGTTGTTTATATTGTCTTAGTCTTTAAGTTGGATAAGTATTGAGAATTATATAGATCAATAGTCATCTAAGTTTGTCATTTATAATTAGACTAATCAGGTTCTTTAGATACATAGAGATTATATTCAGTATAGATAGATAACCTTCAACCACTTCAAAGAGCTGTAGAAAATGGCCTTTAACTCTAAATTCGAAAGTCCAAATTTAATGTGGACATTCAGGGCATTCTGAGTCTGGAAAGCATCGTTGACTTGTCTTGCCAGTTTATCCACGGTGTCCAACACCAACGATGTTTGTGTCATTGTCAGTTCTGCAACCATTGTTGCAGCAGCAGACACTGTGATGACAGCAACCACTGCAGCTGTCTCTCCAGAATCTCGTTTCTCTCGATACAGGGTCATCTCACTCTGCTTAGCCTTTTTGGTAATTGGCAGTGGTATGATGGCTGGTACCCGAACCAACAAGGCAGCAATGGAGTGCACATCCCAGCAGTCGCTCAGGCCACAGTTTCTGAAAGAACAACCAAGCATATCTTTTCCTCAAAAGGTGCTATTCTATACTATAAAAAGGAAAAGAAAAAAGAAAGAAAACTAAAACAAACACGGATTTAATAGTACCTGGGCTCTCAGAGAAATATTTCAAAAAAGAAAGATAGGAACTACATTCACTAGTATAGGATTCCTTTAAAGTAATATTCATAGCCCAAAATATGTAACAAAGCATAAAGCATTCACAAAGGAAAAGGTCTGATTAATAGAAGCCTGTTCTATCATCATATTGCTTAAAGCAGTTCCAGCTGTATAGTTTGAGGAATAGAAAGATGAATACAAAGAACTAGCTTGGCTCACTGATCAATACAAGGGGGTTCCTTACCAGGCTTCACACAGTGCTTTCCGCTTGACTGGGACTCACCAGGAGACTCATCAAGAGAACAGCAGGTGTCATTCTCAGGCCCATCACAGGATCCTTTCCCATCATTTTCCACAGCCCGGACATATCGCTCTGGTACCCAAATGGGCTTGTCCGTTCCTGGAGGGAAAATACAAACAGCTCCTCTCCCCCAGCCAACAGGCTAGCCATCCGTAACTTTCATCACCGAGGTGGCTTTTCAGGGGAACACCTTTGTAGGTTGTGTTGTTAAGACTGCCCCCATCTCTGCTAAGAGATCACATCCCCATAGATTGACAGATTGATATATTCTTCATCTTCCTTTTCTTCAGAGCAGGGACGGGTTTTCTTTTTGTATTTTTATTGGTGTGTGAGTGACTTGATTTTGAGTCTTCTGCCTGCTCGTCTAGTATAAGATCATATTTTGCATCCTGTTTGGGCTTTACTTTTTCTTTCAAAACCAAATTAGATGGTTTATCCCGTTCCTTTTCATACTCCTTGAAATCACTCTTGGTATATTTCCCACCTTTCCCTTTCCATTTAACTTTTTATAGTATTGTTATTTTAAGTAATTTTATTTCTACCAGAAAATATTTTATTTTGAAGTGAGTATTTGGAATATTACTCTTAATGAAGTTTATAGCTACTGCAAACTCGATGCTCAAATCGTTTCTTCTTTCTTTTCTTAGGCCCTCAGCGTACACCGTGCTTAATAAAGGCAATGAAAAGGCAAGGTTATGAGGAAGAAAGAGGCCCATCAAGGAACTAGTTCAGGATAACCGAAAGGAGAAGAAGCCGGCACCATGGCTGTTCTCCTGGAGACCACACTGGGCGACGTGGTTATCGACTTGTACACCGAGGAGCGGCCGCGCACATGCTTGAATTTTCTGAAGTTGTGCAAAAAAAAATATTACAATTATTGCCTTATTCACAATGTACAGAGGGATTTTATCATACAAACAGGAGATCCTACAGGGACTGGCCGAGGAGGAGAGTCTATATTTGGACAACTGTATGGTGATCAAGCAAGCTTTTTTGAGGCAGAAAAAGTGCCATGGATTAAGCACAAGAAAGGCACTGTGTCCATGGTGAACAATGGCAGTGATCAACATGGATCTCAGTTTCTTATTATTACAGGAGAAAATCTAGATTACCTTGATGGTGTTCATACAGTGTTTGGTGAGGTGACAGAAGGCATGGACATAGTTAAGAAAATCAATGAGACCTTTGTCGACAAGGATTTTGTACCATATCAAGATATCAGGATAAATCATACAGTGATTTTAGATGATCCGTTTGATGACCCTCCTGATTTATTAATTCCTGATCGATCACCAGAACCTACAAGGGAACAATTAGATAGTGGTCGAATAGGAGCAGATGAAGAAATTGATGACTTCAAAGGAAGATCAGCTGAAGAAGTAGAAGAAATAAAGGCAGAAAAAGAGGCTAAAACTCAAGCTATTCTTCTAGAGATGGTGGGAGACTTACCTGATGCAGACATGAAACCTCCAGAAAATGTTTTGTTTGTGTGTAAATTGAATCCAGTGACCACAGATGAGGACCTGGAGGTAATATTCTCGAGATTTGGGCCAATAAGTTGTTGTGAAGTTATCCGAGATTGGAAAACAGGAGAGTCCCTCTGTTATGCTTTTATTGAATTTGAAAAGGAAGAAGACTGTGAGAAAGCATTCTTCAAAATGGACAATGTACTTATAGACGACAGGAGAATATATGTGGATTTTAGCCAGTCTGTGGCGAAGGTTAAATAGAAAGGGAAAGGTGGGAAATACACCAAGAGTGATTTCAAGGAGTATGAAAAGGAACGGGATAAACCATCCAATTTGGTTTTGAAAGAAAAAGTAAAGTCAAAACAGGATGCAAAATATGATCTTTTACTAGATGAGCAGGCAGTAGACTCAAAGTCAAGTCACTCACACACCCATAAAAAACACAAAAAGAAAAACCGTCCCTGCTCTGAAGAAAAGGAAGAGGAAGAATATATGCCAATCAAAAATCCTAATCAGGATATCTACAGGGAAAGGGGCTTTGGCCATTATGAAGATGAAGAAAGCTGTTGGGAGAAAGAGAAAAGTGAAGAGAGAGACCGACGTCAGAACCGCAGTCGTAGCCCATCTCGAGAAAGGGGTGGTCACTATAGTAACAGCCACAAACCCAAGTACCAGACAGATCCTTATGAAAGGGAAAGGAGTAGAAAGAGAGACCGAAGCAGAAGTCCAACGAAATCCAAAGACAAAGAAAGATCTAAGTACAGACGAGTGGGGAAGAAAGGGAAGTGAGTGGCTAGCCGGTCTCGAGCTCTTGCAGATGCTCAGAGTTCCTGCTGGCACAGCTAACTCTGCCCGCCCTCTATGACCACCACCAGTTTCCAGAACCACTTCGACCTCTTTGGCTGGACGAAGCACTAGCCATCTCCTGCCTGGATAGGGCTTTTCTTCCTTCACAGTTGTGCCTGTTCACAGTATGGTATTTCTGAATAACAATCTTGTCCACAGAGTCATGGTCATCAAAGGTGACAAAAGCAAAACCTCTCTTTTTTCCACTGCCTCTGTGAGCCATGATTTCAGTCACTTCAATTTTCCCATACTGCTCAAAATAAACTCTCAGATGATGTTCTCCGTGTCTCCTTTAATACCAAAGACAAAGATCTTCTTCACGGTTAAGTGGGCACCTGGTCTCTGAGAATCCTCTCTTGGCACAGCTCTCTTATGAAGTAATAAGGGCGGCGGCGGGGCTGCGTCCCCAACACCCCAGCCGCCTGCCCTGCTAGCTTATGCCCCGAAATAATTACACGGACACTGTATTCTTTTAAACACTGCTTGGCCCATTCTCTTCTAGGCTAATTCTCACATATTAATTTAGCCCATTTCTAATCATCTGTGTGTAGCACCCCAAGGTGCGCTTACCGGGGAGATTCTAGCCTAGTCCATCCTGGATCAGAGCTTCATCCCGGGAGAGGGGCATGGCGTCTCTCTCAGGCGTCTGCTCCCAAGAGGAAAGCGGTCGAGTCTCTGACCTCACTTCCTCTTCCTCCCAGCATTTTGTTCTGTTTACTCCACCCACAGGGCCAAGCAGTTTCTTTATTGGCCAATGACCTTCCTCCATCACTCTTAGGTTCCACAACTCTTCCATCCACTTTTTGGGGTCTTGCATTCATAGCGGCATCCACTTCCTCACGGAATCATCAAACTCCTTCCTAACTACTAACTCTTTTCTGAACAAAGAAGAAAAGATATTGCCAACAGCTCCCATCTTAACTCCTCAATATGTCCCCTTGGGCCAGAAACATCTGCTTACCTCTTTATCTCGGTGGGGGGGCGGGGGATTGCCTTGCCTGCATGGCCTGGAACCGAAACCCGAGCAAAGGACAAAACATATACCCCAATCCACCCTCACCTTCCTAGGGCGACCTCTCAGGGTTCCCTAGTTCCCAATATCTCTGAGGGACCTCCAATTGAACCGCGGGGGGGTGTCTTAGTTAGGGTTCTGTTGCTGTGAAGAGACACCACGACCATGGCAACACTTATCAAAGAAAACATTTAATTAGGGCTGGATTACAGTTTCAGAGGTTTAGTCTGTTACTGTTGCGGCAAGAATGGAGAGAAGCATGGTGGCATGCAGACAGACACAGTGCTACAGCAGGAGCTGAAGAAGGAGCTGAAGGTAACAGGTGAACTACAACACTGGGCATAACTTGAGAACGAGAGACTTCAAAGCTGCTCCTATAGTGACACACTTCCTCCAACAAGACCAAACTTCAACAAGGCCTCCTAATAGTACCACTCCCTATGCGGGTCATTTTCTTTTAAACCCCCATAGAGAGGAAAGGGTTTATTTGGCTTATGCTTCCAAACTACTGCTCACCATTGAATGAGGTCAGGACAGGAACTCAAACCTGGAGGCAGGAGCTGATGCAGAGGCCATGGAGGGGTGCTGCTTACTGGCTTGTTCCTCGTGACTTGCTCAGCCGACTCTCTTACAGAACCTAGGACCATCTACCCAGAAATAGTATCACCCACAATGGACTGGGCCCCCCTTCATCAACCACTAATTAAGAACATGCCCTACAGCTGGATCTTGTGGGGGCAATTTCTCAATTGAGGTTCCCTCCTTTCGCCTAAGACCATCAGAAAACACGGATATTTACATTATGATTCATAACAGTAGCAAAATTACAGTTATGAAGAAGCACCAAAAATAAGTTTATGGTTGGGGTCACCACAACCTAAGGCGCTGTATTAAAGGATTGCAGCGTTAGGAAGGTTGGGAACAATGCTCTAGCTTGCGTCAACTTGCCATAAAACTAGCCGGTACAAGGAAGAAAAGAGTCTAAGAACCAGAGGGGGTGCCCAGACCCACTGACTCTCGAGACTGTGACAGCACACACGGCACCTGCACAAAATCAAGCCAGACCAAGCCCCAGCATGGAGCAGCCGCAAGAGCACAAAATCCCACTCCTGGTTGGGGAGGTATTTCAAGATAACAGCTGCTGGGTGGGGGATCCGTTCCCTTCAATGGAACTACCCTGAGTACATCAACCATACTCTAGCGTAGGCTTCATGCTCGAGAGAAGGTGGCTAACACAAACCATACATACGCATTGTTTTCAGTAGCTTCTTCTTTCATTTTTGTTTTCTTAAGAGAAAGAAAGAGCATGAAGTTGCATGAGGGACAGGAATTGATATGATACAAAAAAATCCTGTATGAGATTCTCAAAAATATAAAAACCTTTTTAAGCATCTTTGGAAACTAAATACATATAATGATATATTACATGATCCTTTCACCATGTGAATTAGATTGCGGCCCTTGTCTAGTCTCCTTAATGAAATATGAAGATCAGAATGTTTTCAAAACCTTGGGACAAGGATTCACAAATCCTTAATTTAATTCTATCAGTTGGAGATCAACTAGTTATTACTTCCCCTAGAATAAAGTTGCTAAAGCAGCCTTTTAAAAAAAAAACTATTTTTTAACTCTCTCTTGCGGGCACACTCACACACACACACGAACACTTGTGAAGGTCAGACGATGTTGGATCCTCCTAGACCTGGAGTTACAGGCAGGTGTCAGTCACACCACAAGATGACTGCTGGGAATCGAACCCAAGTCCTCAGGAAGAGCAGCCTCGCTTACAGTTGAGCCTCACAGCAGCCCTAAACGAGGCCTTTTCAAGGGGCTTCTTCCTCTGTTCTGATGGAGTCAATTCCATGTACAATCATGAGAGTGTACAAAACACCTTGTTCTTTTTTTACGTTTTATAAAATTGATGAGAAGACATCCAAGGTGGAGGTTGCTCCTCCCACCGCAGTCCTACTCCAAACACCCTGCCGCCCACCACTCCAGAACTCCAGCTCCAGACCCCTGAACACGAGTGCACACACTCACACATCCATGCTCACATATACATAATTAAAACGAATAAAGTACATCTTTAGAAAGGCTTTTCCGTTTTAAAAAAAAAAAAAAGACTTCGAAGGTAAAATGGTGGATTAAAAGTTTCCTCTGCGTGACTGAGTAAGAAAAGATGAGTCTGAGAAAAGCGGGGAGAGCAATCAAAAAAGAGCTGTCCGGACAGCTGAAAAGCATGGAGAAAAGAAATGCGTTGGTCGTGGAGTGTGTGTAAAAAACTGTCTACAGCTTCAACCATCCCGGGGCCCCTGTGAGGATGAGCGCAAAGCCACAACCACAGGTTAATCCACGGAGGCAGTCCTAGAGACAACAGATTGCCTGCCAGGTCCAAGCCCAGGAAAAACCCAAAGTTCTTAAGACTTTTATGATGTAAGCAGCCTCAGCAGCAAGAAAACCATTCAGAGAGATAGCTAGAGTGTGCTAAACATTACCTTTACTAGAACTGTAGATTTAGAGAATTTCGTTTAAATAACGACTGCACTAAAGGCCACCGGTAAGCTACCACCTACCGTTCACTCACGCGCACCACTGCATATTGCTCTCAGAAAATTAGAAATATTTCGAAAGAATTAAATGAAACTATTAAATCATCTGGCCCAAATGTTTCCAGAGTTCAGAGTGCCAGATTCTTACCTTTAGAACTGAGAAATGCAATTAGCTATGTTGACGTAGTGGCCTTATAAAACAGGGCTCTGATAGAAACCAACACCAGGGAGGCTGACGTAGGAGGGAGCTCAAGTTCTAAGGCTAGCCTGGGCTAATGGTGAGACTGTCGAAAACGAACAAAACAGAGAACGACCTGTTCGGAGCATAGGAATTGAAAATACGGTGGGTTTACATTCCTTTGCAAAGAAATGGTTTACAACCTGGTGAGACAGTCTCACCATGCGTGCCACATTAAACGGCTAATGAGAGAAAGGCGAACCCGGGAAGTGGGCCGGGAAGGTGGGAGGCTGGCCAGCCGCCTGCGGTTCCAGCCCTCCCTCCCTTTCCCCTCTCCATCCCAGACTCGCCCGTGACAGAATCCAAAGGGTTCTAAGAATTCTCCACGACCGGCGCTGTAACGTTCGAAGCCCCGTTTACCGACACGGCCCTGGCGGTGTTTTCCTGCGATCCCGGCCGGGGGTGAGCACGGCAAGAGCAGAGTCTACATAGACTCTCCCTGCCAAAATTAACACCGCCAGTAGTCGTGGCCGAGTGGTTAAGGCGATGGACTAGAAATCCATTGGGGTCTCCCCGCGCAGGTTCGAATCCTGCCGACTACGGGAAGGAGCTCTTTTTTGTCACAGGCCGTAGTTTTAGCTCCACAGATTTTTACCGATTCCCACCAGAATAATTAAAGACATTTACAGCCGCGGAAGCGACCCGGGGTCGGAACAGGGCGGGGGGGATGACACCGGGTTTGGGGTCAGGCACCGCAGCGGGATCGAAGAGGGTAGAGAGGGGCCCACAGGCTGCGCCGAAGCCGAGGGGAGCGCGGCCCGGACAGGCTGCGCCCACGGAACCCACCCGTGGCTGCAGACCCGGGCCCCGACCCACGACCCCCGCGCTGCCGCGAGTGCGAGCACGTCGGCGCCGCGGCGACTCGCGTCCCGTGGCGGAGGGCGGTTTGCGCACGCGCAGGGCATGCAGACTGGCGTGCGGGCTCGCCGAGCTCCCGCGTTGCCGTGGAAACCACCTGCCCGCTCGCGCCCGCTCAAGATGGCGAAAGACCTGGATGCGCTCCTGGATGAAGTCGAGAGCAAATTCTGCAGCCCCGACCCCCTGAGGCTGGGCCTGGGCGAGCGGCCCCCTAGCGGCGACCGGAACGGAGCCGAGGAGGAGGAGGAGGATCCCAGGTGAACGCGGGCGGGTGGACGGACGTGCTGGGCCCAAAGCCGCCCGCCGCCGCGGGGCGGCCTGGCCGCAGGCTACTTCCCCTCACTGCTCGGATCCCGCGCCTGAGCGAGCCCGAGGGAGCCCAGACCCTACCTGACGGCCCTCACCCAACGGGGAATCCGGCAGCGTTCCTCCCCTAAGCCCCTCCGAGGGCCATACTGCCCCGGCCACGCAGCCTTCCGTTCCAGGCTGCGGTGCCGGGACTGAAACGTCCTGCCTCACCCCGTTACCAGGCAACCCTAGGCCAGTTGTTAGGACACCATTCCATCTTACTGTTGTCTGATGTAAGCGCAAGGAGGAGTTAGAGAAGATTAGACTTGATTATCAAATAAGTATCCATTGTAAACATCGGGATTAAATAGCCCAGTTGCTTGCCCATTGCCCATGGCACCAAGTTATGGGGCCCAGCAAATGTCTGATATCCAGGTCGAAGTTTGAGGACACTTAAGTATTTGGTATCTCAACAAAAATAAAAAATAAACATCAGTGAATTATCCTTTCAAGTGAAGGCTTAGGATCGGCACGAACCCTTGCTAGAGTCTTGGAAATTTGTCACTTGCCTAGAACATTTGGGAAAGGCCAATGAAGGAAATGCCAGGCCCAGTGAAGGAGCCACTTCTGGGAGCTCATTGAGGAGACAGAGAATAACCCCTTTGACAACGACCAAGAGGAGGTTGTCACCTTTGAGCTGGGCAAGATGTTACAAAAATAAATCTTCAAGTTAGTTTTTTTGTAACATGAATTTAACTGTCAGACAGTTAGTGTACGTTTTGGGGCCATCTGTTTTCAGCCTTGTTGTGTTCATGGATTTCACACACTCATTCGGAGACCCCAAGTTCAAAGGAAAAAGCACCCAGTGTGCTTTGAGGTCCAAGGATAGGGGCAATTGGGAAAAACGGACCTAAGTTAGTGAGTTGCTTTCTGCGCTAGGTGGAGAAGGGCTCCTAGAGGTTTCTGTGAGAGCTGCCCCTTGGTAGTTCTCCGTTCCCTACACTTTAATCCCCATCACATGTGCTATCCTGTGGTTTGGGGCTCTTGTTTAGTCACACGCATGGAATACTACTACTGAGTAACCAGAACCAGCTGCCAATTGTTGAGGTTAACGTGAAAAGACCTAAAGACACACGAAGCATGCAGTGGCGGCCCATCAGTGCAGAGCTGGCTGGTAACTCCCGAGGATCAGTGGACTTGGTGTTGAGCGTGATGGAGCACGTGAGCAGCTTCCCATCTGTGCACAGGTGCAGTATTCTTAGCCTTAGTGGGCAGAGATGGGTTAGTGGTTTCAGCCGTGTGTGGCAGGTAGCTCGTAAAGGACCAGGAGTGTGTCAGTGGTTGGAAACAGCAGTGCTAAGAGCTCTGTCTGTCTGTATGCTGGAGAAGTGGATCAGCCATAGAGGGTAAGTGACCTGGCTGTCCCCTAGCAGTGCAAGCTGGGTCCTGGACACACCATTGTGTTGAATGTTTTATGGTCTAGCCTTTTCAGTTGAGGCGCTTTTGGGGACAACCTTTGACCTCGTTTGAGGGTTCTGCTGTGAGGTTCTGTGTTTGTTTTGTGGGTATCTGCCTCATTCTATCCCTGAGCTTTGAAAGTAGACAGGTGGATTCCAAACTGAGGTGCTGATGACTAGAAGAATCGTTTACAGTAGTAATACCTCTTTGCACTAAAGGAAGGGTAGGGTGTGGCCACCCACAAAACACGCAGAAGCTAAGTTGCAGAATCCCTTGCTGGGATTTCACCTTTGCCTTTTGTTGCTGTTTTCCCAAATAACTTGAGGTGCTCGGATTTGTCCCTCAGCCTTGCTTCCCCGGAACCCACCCATTTCTTCACTTAAGAAAAACACCAAATAAAACAATTGAAAAAAAAAACAAAAACAAAAGGAAATCTCATGAGGCCATCTTTATAGCCTGGGTCCAGTGGCGCACACCTTTGATCCAAGAAGCAGAGGCAGACTGATCTCTGAGTTCCAGGCCATCCAGGGTTGCATCGTAAGACCCTTTCTCAAAAACAGAAAGTTAAAGCCATCATACATCTTCTGAAAGATTAAGAAGAATTGGAACTGAGAGAGACCTGAATGTAGTGATTTGAGATAAGAATTGCACTGTAGTCGAGAGATGTGGAGACAAAGCCAGAGATAGAACATTAGACCTGAAAGCAGTTGGAGAGATGCTGCTTCAATTCAGAGAAATTAAATGACTTCAGCTAGCTTAGTATCTCTAGACCAGTGATGATTTTGCAATGGCCAGAGAAGTTCTTTTGGTTATCACAACTGGGAAAAAGTATACTATAAACACCTAGGAGGTAGATAGGAACCCTATAAAACAGCCTGTAATGTCCAATAGCACCCTGTCTCAACATACAGGGTTATCTGACCCGGTATCAGTAGTTCTAAGATTGGGCGGCCATGTAGGTTACTGGTAGTGAATCAGACGATAGCTGTAGACTGCCCCAGCTGTGAGCAAGAGTGGCAGAGTTGTGCTGCTGCTGCTGCTGCTGCTGCTGCTGCTGCTGCTGCTGTTATTTTCTTGGTAGGAAAGTCTTTAGCATACTTGGAAGGCAGAGGAAAATGACAGTGTAGACAGAGAAAGGCATGAAGGATAAAAGTGAGAGCAGGGACAACTAAGTCTGCAGGTAATTGTATCAACCATTTGGCACAAGGGATACATTCCTAGTATTCAGTTTCAAAGTAAATGCATTTCTAAAGAATTTGAACCAAAGAAATAATCTTCTAAGACAAATCATAAAATGGTCCAGTGAACTCTGAAGTGGATCAACAGTGTCCACAACATAAAAACAGTAAGAACAGTTGTCTCATAACATGTGGTGTGTGAACTGCCCTTTGTTAGTACGGCCTTGTACACGCTGCTGGATCTCAGTGTCTTTTCCTCGCCTGAAACAGAAGCAATGAAAGCCTTAAGACACTGGCTGCCTGACAGGTAGTAAATATTTACTTTTGGGGGGTAGTGGCAGGAGACTGGGCAGTGCTGGCTGGACATTAGGACCCAGGACTGTGTTCATGCTAAACAGGTACTCTACCCGTTGCTGTGCTGTGTGCTGTACCCTCAGCCCAGAGTTCCCTCAGATGGGTGTTCTGTGTGGCAGCCATTTGTATTCATAATGGCATGGTGGCTTCCCTTGAAGAACCTGGTGCAGTTGAGATATTCTGACACATAGCAATGGTTCTTTGGCTTTGGGGAGGGATCTCCACTTTTGGATCATTTGCTGACATGAACTTTGACTTCTTTAGGAAAGAAAGAGTTGTTTGAGTTAAAATTGAACCCTTTATGGTGTTAGAATTTGTAACCTATATATTTTATATTCTCTGTATAAGTGCTTGACATAATTTAGAAAAGTGCATTCCCATTTTTAATATAATGCATAGGCTTAGATATCTTAAGTGCATAATAGTAAGGCCCATATGTGAATTTGTGCCAATAAACTATATCTTGTTCTCAACAAACAGCTTATTCTGTGGGTTTGGTTGAAGTCCCGAAAGTACATTAGTGACACAAGGTTGGCCATGTCAAGGATCCTAGTGCCTCAGACCCTCAGGAATGGCACAGCCTTCCTGATGAGGCTTGTTGACAGCTGATCTTGTTAGAGCCAGCACATACAGAAGCTGTTCAGCTGCCCCCTCTTCTTGCTGTCTGTAATGGGCACTGAGTTCCACATGTTGGTGGCCTGTCTCCTTCAAAGCACACAACCCACCCGATCCCAGCCTTTCTGTGTGTAGGTCTGTCATTTCTCCATCTCCCAGTCACCTCGATCAGGTCAGTCCCAAAGCCATGCAGGGTATGACATATGTCCATACCTGAAAAACACCCTTGTGTTATCCCTCCAGAGGTGGTGTTTCCACTCTCTGACTTGTCTGTCCTGAAGGTTTATTCTGTGCCTGTTTTCTTTCAGGTCAGCAGAAACATGTCAAAAAGAAGATGACCTTGACAGTCTTATTAATGAGATATTTGAGGAGCCAAACTTTGAGAAAAAACCTTTTGTAAGTCACGTTTTAAGTGTACAGTAATTCTGTCATTATTTAAGATACTTAGAATAGTCTCGAAAGTAAGGCAGAGTAGCCGTCCAGATGTAATCCTTGAACTCTGAGAAGTACACATGACGTTATTTCACTTAAACAATTGGAGAGGGTAATATGTTGGAAACTGTCTCTGTTGACGCCCCAGCAAGAGTAAGAAATGGGAAAAGCTGCTGCTGGAGAAGTCATCCTCCACAGGTCAAGCTGTCGCTTAGATGTCTTAGGTAGTGTCTAAGAATGCATTTCTCAAAGGCCTACAGCAGTTGGCTGTCAGTACAGGAACGTTTTTAGTGTCTAGACTACAATGACATTAGTGTCATCCCAAAACAGTGGATTTGACTAAACTGTAAGTACTTTAATACTTTAGATGTTCGTCTGTTTTAGCTTTGTAAACATCCAAAAGTAACAGCCACCTATATACTGCTGTGTGAGGGACTCTTCATACCCATCATTCTGAACATGGCGGTATTTTGCTCTATTTTATTCTCTGAACTTCTTTAAGTTAACTGACCCTTCCTAATTGGCATACAGTGTAGTAGGTTTCCATGTGGCTTTTTCATACACTGTTTGCTTAACCCTGCCTTCCTCTCCTCCTCATCTCCTCACCCCCCAATGCCACCCTGCTTAAACCTTGCCCCTGTAATACCCGTTCTGTTTTCGTACCACCTGTGTTCTAAGACACCCTCCAGACAAGCGTCCCCTTCTTCTCTGGCGTCTTCAGATGTTCAACGTGATGTTATTATGCCTTCCTTCTCAGATAGAACCCCTGTTCTTTGTATCCACGTATAGCTTAAATGTCTTAAGTACAGTGTAAGGTGCATATATAAATTTGTACCAATAAACTATAAGTTTGTCTTAACAAACAGCTTATTTCTGTGGACTTGGTAAGTCCTGAGTGAATGTGAGTTTCTGTATTTGGTTTTTTGTTTGTTTTGTTTTTGCTGATATATCTGGTTTTCCAACTGGATAAAGGAGAGAGTAAGTCTATATAAAATATTTACCAGCTAAAGAAAGCGGGAATCGTAGTGACTTGCATCCCCACATTGTCAGGAGGGCATCTGCTGTGTCCTGGGAGTCCTGCCCTTCACCCTGGCTTCTGCACTCTCCCTGCAGTTTGAAGCTGCCCTTGGACACAGACATAAACCCCAGGACCCAACAGTCAGTGTTAGTGGCCCGCTTAGTGTCTCACTGGGATCCTGCACCATGCAAGGGGTGAGCGTGCCGCCTGAGCGCCTGTTGAAGCTTTATGGGTGCAGCAAAATAGTTTCCTGTGTGACATCAAGTCAAAATTAAGAGAGATGGATAAATGAAATTTTTTGCCTCTTAAACTTTCTCAGCCGCCCTGTGAAATGAAGGCATGTCTGTGCATAGTTTTAGGAGCCATTTCCCTGTCTTGCTTTCTCTTGCTGGCAGTTGTCCTAGTATGTGGTTGGTTTATGATGTCTGCTACTTCATATAGTTAACACTTAATAAATGCCTACTCATGACGGCAATGTTATCAGAACATAAGGAACTACTGTATGCTATGACCAGGTAGCTCGGCTTTTCCATGCTCATATGTAGCTTGATATCATTACAATTGATCAGAATTAATAATCCCGAAGTTGTACAGGAATTTAATTTTAGTTTAGATAAGTACCATTCAAAACCTTTAAAAATGGGCTTGGGGTTGTTCCCCCCTCTTCAGTTGAGTTTTTCCAGAATAAAGTTTTAAGCAGGTCCTTCATATGAAATCACTGCAGAGGTAGAAAGTGACGCTAAGTCTCGGTGTGCTGGGGCAGCAGAGCAGTTCTTAGACGGCGAATTCCTCAGGCACTCTCCTCCCTCCTGCCTTTAGAAAGTAGCCATCACTGTTGTGGGTATTCGGAAAAAACACCACCAAATGCTTAGTACATCATTTTAAAATACTGTTGTTATAAAGTAGTTCTCTGAGCCTTTGGTCTTTTATTTTTGTTTTGTTTTTTAGCAAAAATTTAAATCTAAATCTTCAAGTAACACATCTGTCAGAGCTTCCGTTCAAGGCCTCAGTAAGAGGTAAGTGGAGACTGTTGTGAATTCCCCGCTGAGTGAGCAGACACCGTGAGGATGGGCCAATAGATTCTGTGGCCATTTCAGCAGCATTGGCATTAAGGACAGAGAGCCAGCTGGCCTTGAGACAAAAGACCACTAGGAATATCTGGGGTGTGCTTAGGATCTATGGCCCACTTAGTGTAAAGGAAATTAAATAGGAGATTATTGCTATTATAAATAATTTTCTGCTGTGTTAAAAAAGTGTTAACGGTTTCTCAAAATTAATGTTCTGTTACATGCTTTAGTATTGACTTTATTCCTTACATTATTGGCACTCACTTTCCTGTGACTCATTTTAACTCCTTGAGTGTTTCTGGATGCAGGTTATATCCTATGGAGGGTAATGCTGTAATAAATATCTCCTCCTTGAAATGGTTGGCTTGCTGCGGGAGGCATAGAACACGATCACTAGAACATAGACTGGAGACCAGCTGACTTCTCGTGTTTCTTTGTTGTTGTTGTAATTTTGTTTTTCTCCATCTGCTGAACACATCTAGTTGCAGTCCGGTGTATCTCAGTGGAAGCGCCATTCCATGTGGGATTGGAACAAACACCTCGCCGAGGTAGGCTGCAGGAAATGCAGTGTGCGTGTGCTGGGCTGTCCTGTGGCAGAGTGTGCTGCCTTGGCACCAGCCCACTCTACAATGAGAGCTGTGCATTGTACCAGCCAGTCCAGGGACACCGGTAACTCATTTAATATCCTTGGGAAGTAAACTATTCAAGGCTGAGCTGTGCAGGTGGCACATGCCTGTACTCCCAGCCTGTGGGAGGCTGGGGCTGGGTGATCACTAGAAATCCAAGGCCAGGCCAGCCTGCGCCAACACAGCAAGACCTATATTTTTTTTAAAATGTTGTAATGTCAGGTATGTATTGTTCATTGTTGTGCTGCCTTTTTCTGAGCCCCACTTGGGTCACTTGAGTCCTACCCACGTTTTTACAGAGCAGCAGGGGCGTGTGCAGATGTGAAAGGCTGGCTCGTGTAGGTAAACTGAGGCAGCTGTATAGCAGATGCAGTGCCTTGTCCTCACTGATGGAGCCAGAAGACATGAGAAAGTAAAGGTCTGTGTTAACAGAGTTCTCAAGCTGGGCTTTACATTTCTAAAACAGAAACCTGGCATTTCTTGTCTCTTCCCACCACTTTAAGACCCTGCCCTCACGTGGAGTCAAGGTGCCACTCACTGCAAACCCTGTCCCTTCCAGCACACTCCTTTACCGTTTTCACAGGCTGGGAGAAAACTGACTGTAAGCAAATGTTTGCACTGCCTGCTACGCTTGACTCTGTCTTCGGCAGAGGCCCGCTTGCCTAAATTGCTCATTATCTTTTTTCCTACTTGTTCCTAAAGCACTTTTTTCTTTTTATTCATTTTTAAGAAGAAAAACCTAGGTCAAGTGATTGTATATTGATTACACTTCTGAATAATAGAAGTGGGGCCACAAAAAGAAATGGGGAGTTGGGGTGATGCCAGCCTGGATTACTAATCCAGGAAGGAGTAGCCATAGGACCAAAGTGAAGTTGGGAAGCTGAGTGCTGCCTGCTGTCTAAAGAACTGAGAGCAGTTAGTCATCGCGCACTGAGACCTGTCCCCGCAGAGACCTTAGAGGAAGCTATGGTCTACCTGTTAGCTCGGTTGTACTCACTCATTTTCAGAGCTGTGTCACCTGCAGGCGACTTTTGTCACATTGCCGGGAACTACAGCTGCAATTTCTGCTCCCACCCACTCCACTTCCCAAAGCTCACACGCATCCAGCCTTCAGGATGGCAGAGCCGAAATGCCTGTCTCCTGTCCCGTGGCAGCCGAGTTGCCACTGGTGCCCCTCTCACTCTAAGCTCACTACTGTGCTCACTAAAGTGTGTGGTCCTCCTCTTTTCTCCAGTTTCTTCCCTGAATAAACCCTGAGGCAGGTGCTGCCTCCCAGAATCTTAGCATCTGTCGGTCTGGGAGGGTGCGCCTTCCTAACACACATCCCCTCGTCTCAGATGCTCTGTTCACATTAGTTACTCAGATTCATTTTCTTACTCCATTTTAATGTCTGTCTTGTTTGTTTCTTCATCTAAATGCTGTGAATGCATACCCAAGCCCTGTGCTAGTTGACCAAGGGAAGTGACCAGTGGAGAAGCAGGGAAGGGTGAGGCTTAGGGCAGAGCCTGAAAGGGAAGGGCGGGCTCTGGGGGCAGCATGCCCGTCACTCAGTCCTGCCCACCCCATCCCTTGAGAAGGAGTGTATCTTCTAAAGCCTTGCTCAGGATCCTTGCCTTTAAATATCGTGAGACCTTTCACAGCACCACAGGAAAAAGTCACAGGCTGCCAGATGACGTGGAATCTGGGAAATAAAGCAGAAGAGGGTCCAGAAGAGGAGTCACTGGGGCTGAATTCTCCACAGTGTAGGGGAAAGAGAAAGGGAGCTAGCTGTGACCTGGGTGTGACTGACTGTAAGGAAAGGAAGTCAGATTTCAGATTTAGAGTGTGGAGTTGAAAGAGTTTGAAGAATAAATGTCTGTGGTAGAGAAGGCAGTGAGTAACAGAGCCAGCAGAGGGCTCAGTGGACGGAAATGCATTGCGGCCAAGCCTCGTGACCTAAGCTGGAGCCCAGAGCCCACATGGTAGACGGAGGGAACTAATCCTGGAGCTCGTCCTCTGACATCCACACGTTCACACACACAGAAACAGATACGTGAATGAGAAGAATGCCTTCCAAATAGCCTGGTCTACTAACCTATGACGTTATATGCCTATAACACCAGCACTTGAGAGTGTGAGGCAGGAGGCTTGCCACAAGTTTGAGAGCAGCCTGGACTACAGAGTAAGACCAGGCCGGCCATAGCTACATAGCAAAATCCTGTTTCTTCACCCAGCCCTGGACATAAAGGCTCCCAGGTGATGTCCCAGCATCAGTGGATGCTTTGTTAGAAAGCAAGGGCTCACGCTGGTAACCTGATTCTTGTGTCAGACTCCATTATGTGAAAAGGAAGGCTCTTAGCTGCTCCACTGTTAGAGCTGCTGCTTGGGCTTTTGTTTTGATGTGAAGTGTCTTGTAGCCCAGGCTATCCTCAAGCTCACCATACAGACAAGAAGAATTAGAACTCCTGATCCTCCTGCCTCTGCCCCTCAGGTGCTGATTACAGGCAGGTGATGCCATACCTAGCCAGCCAATATTACTTTGAAACTGTCCAAGTATCAAGCCTTTCTTGCCCTCTGTGTAGATCGGATTGGATTTAACTAAGAACTGTAGAGTCTGGGCGGATATGTGGAAGAACTATTCAGGACATTCCTACTACAAACATCCATAAAATGGTCAGTTCTGCCTAGCAGTTGAATAAACATAAAAACACCTCCTTAGTATATATAGTCCCTTCATATTTTACGGGAAAATACTAAATTTATTCTTTATTGGAATCATAATTTTATGTTATTTTATGCTAACAGATATTTGACTTACAGTGGCTCCAACATGACTAACACATTCAGTTCATTAGCCATATTTTAATTTTTAATAATTTTTGTCTTTTCCCAGTATATAGTATGATTCTCTCTGGGTGCTGGGCAGGGACAGTGAACCAGTCACAAGGTTAGCGACCAGTAAGCTTACTTTGTATTGTGATGTATGATAGTTACATATGCTACATGCCATTTTCACTTAGGAGGGTTGTGTTGGAACATGACCTTATCATAAAGTGAGTAGTCACATGTGTGTGTGTGTGTACAGTTTTCATGTTCAGGGCATAAAGGGAGTCAGCTGTGCTGTGCTTGTTCGTTTCCCTCGTTGGATTCCTGCACTGAGCTCCAGTGTAGGGCTAATGCAGACTGTGAGCAGAGTGTGGACATTGAAGTCTTTGCCCAGCGGGTGGGAAGGATGTGGAACGTGGTGTCGTGGACAAGTGGTCTAGATAAGACTGGGCATCCTTTCCTTTTGGTTTTGGTTTATTTGTTTGTTTGTTTGTTTTTTATTTTGACTGGAGGGTGGCTAATTTTGGTTTTTGATTTGTTTTTTCTGTTTTGGGGGATTTGTTTGTTTATGGTTTTTTTGAGACAGGGTTTCTGGCTGTCCTGGAACTCACTCCAGCTCACAGAGATCCACCTGCCTCTGCCTCCTCACTGCTGAGATTAAAGGTGTGCACTGCCACCACCCAGCTGAGGCATCCTTTTCAAGCCAAATAAGTTCTCTCCTTATTTGTAGGTTGATGTATTTGTAAACTCCTTGCAAACTGGGTTATCCCCACTCCCCCAGCACTGGTTAGGATCACAGTGCTCACGGCAGCAGGGTAATGTCTTAGCTGCAAACTGTCCTATGAAAGCCAGTGTTTGTAAAGAAATATAGTAGTGTGAATAGATTTGATAAACCAATAAAATTTAAATTTAAAACGATATTAAACATAATGGTTGAGGGTTTTACACATAAAATGTCATGAAAATCTAAATTATGGTTCCCACAATAGCAATAATTCAGCCAAATTGCACATATGTATTAAGGCATTAAAGTTAACACTCTGTTGTGAACATGTAATAAACTACATCTGCATAAGAACACAGTTACGGGAGCCATGGGGACCATCATTCAAGGCTTAGAATGCAGCTGGGTTGAAATGCCACAGGAACTGCACAGCCTCAGCAACCACAAAGAGTGTAAAAGGAGTTCCTGTGAAACACTGTAAATGTTTGGTTGTGACTGATACTCTTAGAAATATTCATTCTCAAGGAAGCTTTGAGACCAAAAGTTTTCCAGTGTTACTCGGTTTAGAAGTTATGTATCTAAAGTCTGAGATAGGCTCATACAGTCCAGGCTGGCCTTGAACTCACCATTAGCCAATGATGATCTCCGCCTCCATCTTAAAAGTATTGGGGCTACAGGCATGTGCCACCTTCCTAGCCTGTATTTTAATTTCAAAATAAAAAGTCTAATAATTGGTTTGTTTTGTTACAGAAATATTACTGAAAAAGTATATTAGTAAAATATATTGAAACAACACACTATCGAAAAGAACAAAAGCAAAATTGGAATATAAAAAGAAAAAATGAGGGCTGGAGAGATGGCTCAGAGGTTAAGAGCAGTGCCTGCTCTTCCAAAGGTCCTGAGTTCAATTTCCAGCAACCACATGGTGGCTCACAGCCATCTGTAATGAGATCTGTGCCCTCTTCTGGCCAGCAGGCATACACCCAGACAAAACATTGTATACATAATAAATAAATAAATAAATATTAAAAAAAAAAAAGAAAAAATGAGTCACAAGGAAATTCCTTGGCTATTCCTTTGTGCTCAGAGCCGGCGTGTGCACTGGCTCACTAGTCACACAGAAATTATCTTGTTCGCTTTGTTGTCACTTGGAAGTACTTAGTATGTAGGAGTGAACCAGTTGACGGTGCATGCGCGCTCTCTCTCCCCTCTCTCTTCCCCTCGCTCTCCCTCCTTCCCTCTTCCTCTCTTCCCTCTTCTCTCCCTGGGTGTGTCTTAACAACTCATCAACTTTTAGTTTTTATTAAATGTATCCATTGAATTTGTTTATTAAATATTTCAAATAATAGCTGTTTCTGTTGCTGCAGCAACAATTCGTAATTCTTTTTAAACTTACTATATGTTACCACTTTCCTTATGGTTAGCATCTCTGCACATAATGCTACAACATGGTACCTCCAGGAGACTTGCTTGTCACGTGGTCTTCTTGGCAGTCCCTGAGGGCCACTCTGCCTGCTCCTGCTGTCCAGCACACTCACAACCTTGCTCTTCATTGCATCCTTGCCGTCGGTACACAGTGTTCAGATATGCCCTGTGAATGAGGCCAGTCCAGGCTGCCCTGTTCAGAATCCCTACCCATCTCCTCCCAGGACTCCTAATCTCATTGCCCTGCTCTTCTAACAAACTAATGACTTATTCACAGTGAGTGCTACTTAGTTTACCTCTCACTAGAATCTAAGACAAGCAAACCAGTGATGGCTCCAGAAATGGTGCTTTCTTGAAGACAGTTTCTCAGTGTGGCAATTATATTCTTCGATCTGCCAATCTGACACTGTATGTCCATATAATATTCATTTGTCTATGTATTGTGTGAAATATTTATAAGCTAGATGTGAGAAATAACCTGGAAGCTTTTTATTTAATTTTTTTTGAGACAGGGTCTTGCTGTGTAGTATAACCCTGGCTGGCTTAGAAATCACTATAGAAAGATGGGCTGACTTTGAACTCAGTACCGGATATCTCCCAAGTGCTGGGATTAGAGGAATGTGCCACCATATCCAGCCAGAAAGCTTAAACACATAAACAGTCCTCTGATGCAAACAATTGCAATCATTAATCCAGACCTTTCTGTTGCTTATTCGGTTATCTGGAGCATGCCACTGTATTTTCCTATTTAAACAGCTCATCTTTAACGCATCTTTCTTTCTCTCTGACCAGAGCATGTGACCAGCTGCGTTGTATAGCCTGTGATTTCCGGATAGTGAGCTACAATGACTATATGTGGGACAAATCATGTGATTACCTGTTCTTCAGGTATGTTTCTCAAGAATTTCATCCTGTGTCTTAGCATTTGTATTGTTGACAAGAGACACCATGACCACAGCAACTCTTATAAGGAAAATATTTAGTTGAGGGGACTCAGATGTCAGGGGTTCGGTCCATTATCATCATGCTGGGAGCATGGTAGCATAGAAGCAGGCATGGTGCTGGAGGAATAGCCGAGAGTCCTTGCAGACAACAGGAAGTTGAACTGACTGTCATACTGCGGGAAGCCTGCCCCACCGGGACACACTTCCTCCATTAAGGCCACACCTATTAGTGCCACTCCCTTTGGGGGCCATTTTCTCTCAAAGCACCACATCTTGAAAATGTACCAACGGCTTTTTGTGTCTCACTTTGTTGTACTGTTGGTCTGCTTGTCCAGTCATGTGGGCCTAGCTCCCCTCCTCCTCACTTCCTTTCCCTCTGTTTGTTGTCAGCCTAAATAAGGGTGTGTTCTGAATAAGGACACAGAACTGCCTCATTGATTCCTGTGCCCACAACCTTTGCGCGCTCCACACCAGGGCAGAGCTCTGAGAATGCCATTGTTCACTTGGTTGGGTTTTGCTGTTCACTGTCTGCTGGTTAATCTAACAAGTGTCTGATTCTCATAAGTCATGAACATGAATTGTTATAGACTTAGGATAGTAAGGTGTGTGTGACATCTAAACAGTAGCGAGCACAGGCACAAAGTGACTTTGTAAGTGACTGACTTGGGACGTGAGAAATGTGTGGGGTCTCACTCTTCTAGAATGGCAGACATGGGTACTCTCTGGAAACTGAAGCAGGACGACAGTGAATTCAAGATCAGACTTTGTCACAAAAAAATAGACACCAGTCACTTTACTCCAGATGTTTGGTAGTCTCATTTTAACATATAATTTACTTAAAGTAGTGATTACTAGGATTATTATACTAAATTATTAAAACTAATAATAATTATAATAAGCTAGCTAGTTACATAAATCAGTGAAAAATACAACCCGAGTCCTCAAGATACTTAAGAGTATGTATGTTTAGAAAACAAGAGAATGAAACAACTAGAGAATCTGGTTATCTCAGCCACGGCGCCAGCCACTGATGATGCGTCTGTGGCCTGTAACTCCTTAGCGTTTCTTACCAACAGGCATTCTCTGGCTCCTTGTCGGGGTGCTTTAAGAGGGAGATGGGCAGAGAACATGCACTTAAGGGTGACAGTGGAGCTGGAGGACAGGATGGTGGGTGCACTTCACCTGCAGCATCCAGACTCTGAGCACAACTGTGGCCGTGGCACTCGGGCTGTTTTTAAAGGCACAGAGAGAGGTGAATCACATGGCATGGTGGGAGTCCGAAAAGTCTGAACAAGAGCAGAGATGGCAAGGGCTGGCGCAGTGTAGGGGTCAGCAATAGTGAGGAGTTCAACTCACAGCTGAAAACTTCATTTGGAGAGAGGCCTATGCAAACATCAGTTTTGTTTTGTATGTTGAGACAGAGTTTTGCAGTGTAGCTATAGCTGGCCTGGAACTTCCTTAGCAGACCAAGATGTTGAACTTGTGGCATTTTCCTGCCTGTTTCCTTGGTGATCAGTTTATAGGGTATAAGGGTTTATATCCCTTAGCTTTTAAGGGATAATGGACTACTGTGTAGGGGAAATCAGGCCAGTGGAGAATCATTAGGATTGATGAAGAGATGGTACAGTAACACAGAGTTACATTTTGTGGATCACAGCAGTGAGAATGGCAAAATGGAGCAGGTGTGCCAGAGACATCGCCAACAGCATCTTAGGACAAGTGCCTTAGTTCACAGATGGAAGGGGCTAAACATTGGATTGCAGATACTGTTGAAACTGTCTCTGAAGCTCTGGGAGGAATTTCATCTGAACCCATGGGATTGGCTGTGGATACCCAAGAGGGCAGCTTGGAAGAAGCTGGTGCAGAGATGTTTTAGCTCATTTCGTTGACTTAGTTTTACTGGGTTTTTCATTCTCATAAAACCATATTACTCTGTTATTGCCCTAGATCTTCATAACCCTAGCTAGGTTACTGCTGGTAGAAGTGTCACTTTTCCAAGCTTAGGCACTTGGCCCTGAAAGTCTCTAGGGTTTTCTTAGGTTCTCACCGTCTGAAGTGTCTGAGTTAGCACACATTGACCACCAGGGGGCAGTGTAGAGACTGTCATGCATCGTTAGCGTGTGCTCTGCCTTTCATCATTTCTCTTGGGGGTTTTTCCAATATTTTATTTTTAGCTTGTCCAGTTTTATTTTCCAATAATTTATGTTCATAAACATAATGCATAAAGATCATAATTGATTTTCTTTAGTAACCAAACTTACAGTAACTTCCATATTCTTATAATACAATCAAAGCCAATGGTTATCATTTTAATAACTTCAGTTACTTTTTGCATTATTCAGACTTCAGGATAGGTATTTTATTGATGATATAATAAATAAGCAGGTGATTTGAGCAAGTGAAGGAGATGAGCTCAGCATAGAGAAGGGCTTGTTCCCCTCGTGATAGAAGTGTGCTGTAACAGAAGTAATAGAAGCCAGCAGCCCGCCTTTCCTGCCACTGCCTCTATGGCACAGGGGAAGGGTCCATTCCATTCCCATCCGTGTCGTCTCTGAGTAGTGACATGGGTGATCCTTCAGAGCAGTCGCATCTAGAAGATTGCCATTAGCAGTACTGCGGCCCGAGAACACAGTCGTGACAGACCACCTAGCAGGACTTTTCTTCTTCTGTGTCGTGAAACACCAAGCACAGACACTGTGCTCAAGCCTGCCTGTTTTGCCATAGGAACAACATGCCGGAATTCCACAAACTGAAAGCAAAGTTGGTCCAGAAGAAAGGAGCCCGGGCATATGCTTGCCAGTGTAGCTGGAGGACTGTTGAGGAGCTGACGGACCTGCAGACAGAGCATCAGCTCCGCTGGGTGTGTGGTAAACACTGAGGGCGCAGGCCGTCCACCTTCCGACAGCGGCATTTCTGAGAGCACGCTCTGCTCACCAGAAAATAATGTCCCGGGACACCAGGACACCGGGACAGTACTCCTTTTGGCACAGGCGTCTTACTTAGTAGGTTAAAATATCTGAATTTACTAGCCTGTCTCCTGCTAGAGATTTAAATTGTGGCAGTTTGTGCAAATTTACAGCCTTTCCATCGCAGCTGCAGCAGTGGCTGCTCACGCTCTCTAGCGCATTCTCGTGTGTCGTGGCTGACAGACACCCGCTGGCCAGGGCAGAGAGGTCACTGTCGCACGTGCCCATGGTTTCTGCTCTTACCATGAGTTCAACCTGAGAGAGAAGAGATGGCCACTGGTGCGCTGAGGGTTGTCGAGGGTGCAGTGTGTTGTGAACCCCCGCCCACCGTATATGTGCCTCATGGTGTCTCTCACTCAGTTCAGTATTATGCACAATAGTGACAATAATAGTAACATCTCCATTGTAGTATAGTTCCCTCCTGTGCTCATTGAAATATCAAGTTAGTTTTATATTAGTAAATATCTATTTATATATAAAAGGTTTTCGGTGTATCTAAAATGACTAAAGTCCTTCAAATAAGTAGGACTGTTGTTGGGTTGGGTTTTTCAATTAAACTCCATAATTCCATCACATAAACAGCAACCTTTTCAGGCAACTGTGGACTTTTCTAGTACGATCAGGTTGATACATCATTATTGAAGCATAGCTAACCAGTGGTAGCCTGTTGGGCTCCTGCCTGGCCACACCAAGAGGGGAGGAACTGTGTCACCACAACATGTTCAAGAAATGCAGTATCTCTGCTTTGTTCCCAGTCTGCCAAAATTCTACTGTGTGCCTGCTCCCCGTGTGCCTGTCTGGTGTAGGTGTGTGACACAGGGCGCTCTGAAGGATCCTACTGTGTGTCTGTTATCTGGTGTAGGTGTGTGACACAGGGCGCTCTGAAGGATCCTACTGTGTGTCTGTTATCTGGTGTAGGTGTGTGACACAGGGCACTCTGAAGGATCCTACTGTGTGTCTGTTATCTGGTGTAGGTGTGTGACACAGGGCACTCTGAAGGATCCTACTGTGTGTCTGTTATCTGGTGTAGGTGTGTGACACAGGGCACTCTGAAGGATGTAAACTGTAGCACAGATCTGAGCTGCTTGGTTTTATGTTAGCTCTGTTCCAGCCACCTAGCACCCTCTACGCTAAAAGCCTGTGCCCAGGCTGGGGTCTGGCTCGGTAGAGCACTGGCAAAGCATGGGCAAGGTCCTAAGTCGTTCCCAGCAGTACAAAACAAGAGAAAGAAAGAAAAGCAAGCTTTTCCTGACTGTGACACACTTATGCACTTGTAAATAACTCTAGTTGCAACAAAAGAAATCTCAATGGCTGATGCCCTCATTTTTGTATCAAGATATATTTACAAGTTTTATCTTTAAATAAATCTTTTTATTCCTCAAAAATATATCTCTGTGTAATTATGTAATAAACATGGAAATTTTGATTGACAGCACATATCCCCCCATGCACGTATGCACTCAGACTCATGAAGGTTGAGCACAGCGGTGCACACTTGTAAGCCCAGCACCTGAGAGACTGAGGCAAGAGGGCGTGAGTTCACGGCCAGCCCGGCCTACAGAGTGAGACACTGCTCCCCAGGACTGCACTGTGTCTGTCACCTCACGCATCTTCAGTGTCTCGTGGAGACCTCACTGCGTCTGTCTTCGGGTTTGTGCCACATTTAAAAGACCACATTGGTCTGAAGGTGGGGAGGGGACTGAGACAAAATAAAGGAATACACGTGACATGAAAGCAGAAAGGGGGGCTGTTTGGGGAGAGGAGGGATGGAGGAGGCTGGGCGGGGAATAAGAACCAAGCAAATGTACACACGTGGGAAGGCCATAATGATGGCGGGAGTGTTGCTCAGCAGAGTGCTTGTCTAGCATGCTCGGAACCCTGGGTCTGAGTCCCATCTCTGCATAAAAAGACACTGTGACACACACCACAGTTCCAGTTCTGCAGAAGTAGACAGAGGATCAGCTGTATTCTGGGCTGTGTGATCCCTTGTCTCAAAGGAAAGTAGGGCAGTGAGATGGGCCAGCAGGTGAAGGTGCTTGCTGCCAACCTAACAACCTATGGTGTCCTCTGACCTACTCATACTCACACACACAATAGCAGGTGTGCACCCACATGTGCACGCACAAACAAACGTGATTTTTTTTTTACATGCTGTGATCAGATTGAAAGGGTTTTAAAAAGATTGCATAGGATATATAGACGCAGGTATGCAGGCCAGTTAACTTTCCCCTCCCTGAATTGCTCTGTAATAAGTGAAGTACTCTAGAACCAGGGTTGAGACCGGGTTCCCAGTGCTGCTTGAGTGTGGGCATCGTGCAGACGGTCTGTGTGAACAGTGGCGTCTCTATGTGAGCTTGCTGCTAGGCCTAAGTCATGGAACATGAAAAGTGACAATCACAGTGTTTGGTTACAGCATTTTGTTTCCTTCGGAGATAAATTCCATCTGTTGAAATCACGTAGCAGCCGTTCATTCCCGCAGATCTTCCCCATAAGAAAAATCAGCACTGCTGCTTTTGATTTCATCATTAATGAATGTAACGTGGCCACCTTTATTTAAGTTGTATCTTTGGGTTTTCGTTCGTTGAGACAGGGCCTTACCATGTGACTCCAGCTGCCTTTTAACCTACAGAGATGACCCTGAACTCTGGGATAGTCTGGTGAAAGGCACACAGCACAGCTGAGGTGTGGACACACCTTTAGTCCCAGCACTTGGGAAGCAGAGGCAGAAGGATCTCTATGAGTTACAGGACAGCCAGGACTATAGACCCTGACTTAGTATATCTGTTGGACTCTAGCATCCAAACACCGAGAAGGAGTCGCCCCCAGAGACCATCTCATACACCACAGCTGATGCAAAAGCATGAGGATTTTATTAATTCTGTCATGACAGGGTCCCCCAGCATTCGGGAAGCCGAGGGACCTCGAATAGCTGGTACAGTCTACTTTTAAAGGGGCCACAGAAGTAAGGGGGGTTGTTCTTTGACTATTCTGATTGGCTTATTCGAAAGGGCTATTACCAATAATTGTCTGGAGAACTGTTGCCAGATCAGATGAGGTAAGAGGTCATTTTGACCCTGTTTCCCAGGGGACCAAACCAAAACATACGTATATGGGTAATTGTTCAGGAACTGAGTATGTACGAGTGTAGCTGTTAGGTCCTTGGTTCCCAGGGGAGGAGGGGAAGCACTATGGCACAGGGGCTGAGGATTCATAATTGTCAAAAATGGCTTCAGGATTGTCTTAAAGTCTTACATATCAACATACACACCAATTAAACCGTGTAGAAAAATGCTCTCATGGCTTGCTGAGGGCGACTTAAACCTACAGAAGCCGCCATGAAGGTATTCCTGGTTCCATTCTATCTTGAGGTGCCTCTGCCCCGGCCCTTCCCTCTTCCTGCCCGCCAGTTCTCAGGCACACATGGCATTCTGCTGGACTGCCTCATCTTGCTCTGTCACTGCAACTCATTTTCCGCGGTGTTTCTTAGACACATCAGTTCTCAAAGTGAAATCCACCCCAAGAGCTTCCAGATCTATTTTCACAGCACTCAGACATTGATTTACTTTTACACTGATGAACACAAATGACAAATAGAAAAAGGCTGGCACTTAATTGTGTCACCGTGGGGTGAGGGGCTAATCTTGGTTGGTTGCGGTGGTGCGGTGGGTACAAGCATTTGCCATCAAAGCCTGATAACCTGAGTTCAATCCCCAGGACCCACACGGGAACATATACCATTCATGACTTAGTCTTTGTAATACAGGAAGGCACATTAGAATATTGTAATGTCGGTTACACACCAGCCCGCAGTGCTGTGCAGTAAAGAACTCGGCTTACCCCAGCAGTAAGATGGCTTTAGACCGGGTCAACAGGAAAACATTCGGAAGTGCCGTACCCAGGCCTCAAGTTCAGAAGCCTGATTCATCTGTCTACAGCGAGGCCCAGCATCCCTGCTATTTCATTTATTCTACTGTAAGACTAAGTGGGTTTTTTTTTTAGTCAATTTATGAAAACAGTTGACTTAGGCATCTGCAATGGTGACTTCAACCTCCACGCCCGGCTCAATACTGATGGACGTGATTTGCTTAACTATCTCGGAGGGGCTGTGCAAGTCAATGAGGCGCTTGTGGATTCTCTTTTGGAAACGATCCCATGTCTTGGAGCCTTCACCACAAGGTGTTTTTCTCGTACTGATCCTCAGGGTCTTGGTAGGCATGCGCACCAGCCCCTTCACTTTCAGGTTCTTCTCCTTGGCACCTCTGATCAGGTCGGCACACACCTTCTCCAGCGACTTCACGTTGCGGCTGGTGAGCGTGATCCGGATGCGGTGGTGGATGGCCACCTCGGGCTCCACGGGCGTCTTCCCGGTGTCTTTGAAAGCCATGGCTGCAGTGTGGGCTTCCAGACCGACTTGTTCCTCGGCGGGGAGCAAAGAGCGGTGAGTCAGGACAAGAGCAGGCAGAGCAGAGCTTCGCGGCGCACACCACCACGCCTCAAGACTAGTGTTTTAGGGTTTTGCAGCGCACAACGCCTGTCTGTGCTCTATCTGCTACCGTACAGTTTGTGAGCTTCGGGCAAGGGGCTGGAGGTTGAAACATACAAACACACAGACAGAGAGACAGAGACATGGACCTCTAGTCACTGGTAAGAAGCCCTCTATTCAATAGCACCACGGAGGCTTATATACCCAACACAGTCAGGTGGGCCAACAGGTGAAAACCTTATCCTCTGATCCTCAAGGCAAGGCAACACGTGCTCGTGAAGCAGAGCTGGTAAATAACTTTGACACAGCTTTCAGTAACTCAGATCAGAAGGAAAGTAAAGATCTTTAGCAGAGAAGAGCAGCTGGAGGCCAGGACTCCAAATGCTCCCAACAGGGTTTGCTGTGAAGAATCCCCATTACCAATAGCAACCATGGGAGGAAAAGGTGTATTTCAGTCACAGTTCCTGATAACAGTTCGTCAGCAGAAGCAGTGAGGGCAGGAACTTGCAGGACAGGAACCTGGAAGCAGGAACTGATGCAGAGGCCATGGAGGGTGCCGCTTACTGACTTGCCCCTCATGGCTTGCTTCATGGTCCCACCGAGCTTCGTCTGATAGCAGGAGATCCAACATGACCCTTAGAAAGGACTCAAAGCACACAGGAATGTGTTTAAATACTCGCCATCCTGTGCCCGGTGTCTAGCAAGAGAGCCCAGGGCCCCTGGTGATCAGGCAGGAGTCGGGCTAGTAAGACAGGCCATTTCCAAAGGAGTTAACGTAATTGGTCTCTTGGGCCAGTGTCTTTGGCTCAATCATAACCAGACATCAGAATCAAATCAGACCAGACAAAGCATCACACTATTTCACAACCTGGGGAGACAACTCTAGACATCTTGTGGCTCATCATTGTTCCAATGTGACCAAGATGGAAACTGCCTTGCTACATGTCAGTATGGGCTAGAAATACACACTGCTCCCAGACAGGAAAGGAAAGCTTGTCTCTTAAAACTTCCCCTTTCCTGGTCTAAAATTCTCACTGCAGCGGGTACTTGGTTGAGTCCCCAGGTCACATTCCAAGCCAAGGGAGCCAGGAAAGGAGAAAGTCCCTGAGGCTGCCTTAACCTGGGGAGTGGCATCAGGTGGCAGTAAAAAGGGGCAAGGGTGGCATCAAGGTCATAGCAGTCAGAGCCCTTCAGTTAACCCCGTAAATTGAGAATCTGGTCCATAGGGGGCAGACCTGCACCAAATACCACATTTTCCTTCTTGGCGTTGGTCTCTTGGGAAAACCTCCCTTTTATTTTCTCATCAACTCTACCTGCTGTTGTTAACAATGGCTATTTTTTTTTTCTCTCTGGGTAAAAAAGCCCCATTCTAATCCACACAACTTTGTTTTTTAAGGCAAAAAGAATAAGCATCGCTTAGTTGAATCTTGTTAGGGGAGGCTTTGGTGGCACTTTCTGGCCAGATGCACTTGAAGCCAGCCACCTTAGAAGAATTCGCCTTCACCTCTGGAATCTGTTCCTGCAGCACTTCTGAGGATCTAAGACAGAGTGGGAGAGAGAAAGTGGTTCCTCGGCTGCCTGAAGCAATGGGAGACCAATTGCTCTGGCCTTGGTAGAGGAGTGTAGGCTTGTGCTGACAGGCATTTGAGGCCAGGAAACCGTATCTTCGTGACCTTTGAACATGCGTGTTCAGCACAAACATTCCAAGGGTATAGTGATTAGGTTTTATTTTTAAGATTTTATTACTGTAAAAAACAAAAAAATGATTATCTGAAACTCACATTTTTGTGCATAAAAAATGCAGTGTAGAAAAGCAGAAATTCTCCCTCTGCCCCAAAAGACCAGTCCTGTTTACCTGGTATCTACCCTAAATTTTACAGAAAATGGCACAGACAGGCACAGTTCAGAGTCCTCTCCCTCTGTCCATGAGCCACCGTTCGTGTTCTTGCCCTACAGAAGGACTGGATGCCAGGAGCTAAGTCCCTTCAGTCCCGTCATCATGCCATGCCAGTGTATAGTGCCATCTGCCACTAACAGACGCTAAACTCAAGGCCCTTGCTGAATGTTCTGACTGGCGTCTTGCTTTCCAGACATAGGAAATGCCCTGGACCCAGGAGCCCACACGTGTCCTCCAGCCCCACAGACATCCACCTGCACCACTCTCAGTCACCCCAGACCAAGTCTGGGTTTCTGCATCCATGCTGCTGGTTCCCTAACAACTGCCACTTAGGTGGGGGCCTAGAAACTCTCTCCCCAGACACAGCACCAGTCCTCAGTCCTGCTGAAGCCTCCAACTGTGAGAGCACCAAGAAGGAAGCACTGTGTGAGGAGAAGGCAGGAAGGCCATCAGCTGCGCCCCGGCTAACTCACGGCCTCTCCATGGGTGTCTTAAGGTGCACACTATATGGCTGGTGACATTTCATTCCTTCTCTCAGTGGGCTTTGCAGAGGAACAATGGAGAGAAGATGGCTTGGAAAAGAACACCAGGGCATGATTCCAGCTTCTCCATTTCACCCAAAAATCCACAGGCTATGCCAGGTAGTGGTGGCGCATGCCTTTAATCCCAGCACTCGAGAGGCAGAGACAGGTGGATCTCTGTGAGTTCAGGGCCAGCCTGGTCTACAGAGTGAGTTCCAGGACAGCCAAAGCTACACAGAGAAACCCTGTCTTGGAAAAAAAAAGAAAAAAAAATCCACATGGTGTGGGAAGTCCTTCTGTATAGGTGTTGCTTTGATTGGTTAATGGATAAAGAAGCTGCTTTCAGCCAGTGGGTTTAACAGAATATAGCCAGGCTGGAAAAGAGAGAGCGAGAGAAAAGAAGGCGGAGTCAGTGAGAAGCCATATAGCCGCTGCCAGAGACAGATGCCTCTGCTGGAGCCTGTCGAAACTTTGCTGGTAGGCCACAACCTTGTGGTGATGCACAGATTAACAGAGATGGGTTAGTTTAGTATATAAGAGCTAGCTTGAAATAGGCTTAAGCTATTAGCCAAACAGTATTGTAAATATCATTTTCTGAGTGATTATTTCAGGGCTGGACATCTGGGAACAAACGAGCAGTCTCCCCCAACAAAGCCATGTAGCCGCCACCAGACAGACACGTTGGAACCTTGCCAGTAAGCCACAGCCAGGTGACAATATACAGATTAATAGAAATGGGTTAACCAAAGATACAAGAGCTAGCAGTGATATGCTTAAGGGATTGGCCAAGCAATGATTTAAATAATACAGCTTCTGTGTGATTATTTCTAGTCAGAACGGCCAGGAGTGAACGAACAATCTCCCACAACATCCACAGGCCCAGAAGGCTGAAGGAGCATGCTTCCAGACAGTTGGTATATGACATGGTATAAGATAAACAGTGTCTTCTAGGAACAGGCAGGTCTCTGGGCCAGCGTTTCTTTGCTGCTGTAGCCTCGTTTTAAGCCTGCCTAATTCTGTTCCCAGTCAGCTTATCCGGTGACCTACCCAAGGCAGATCCTTCCAGATAATCCCCTAGCCTCGGCAACCCTCTGTCCACCTCTCAACACAGGCAGTCCTGCCTGCCTTTCAGAGACACGCCCCCAGCCAGCAGCCCCAAAGAGAAACAGCTGGCACACGCCCTCCCCAGCTGTGAAGAGCTGATACTGGTTCTTTCCTTTTCTTACTTTTTTAGTATAGATATTTAGTGAGTGTGTCCACCCGCATGTCTGTCTCTGCGTGTGCATGCGTGCAGACATACCACAACATACACAGAGGTCAGGGGACAGCTTGCCTGCCTCCGTTCTTCCCTTCCACAGTGTGAGCTTGGGGGATCAAACTCGGTTATCAGGCTTGGCAACAGGTACCCTTACCTGCTGAGCCATCTTCCCAGACCCTTACTTCATTTGTGAAAAGGTCCTATATTGGCGGGGCTCAAAAGTCTCCAGTCCTGTCTCCTCTCTGTTGGGCCCCTTCCTATTGTTAATCCCACCAATCGAGAATAAGACCACTACCACAATTTAAAGCCAAATTTGAAGCAAGCTTTAATTAAATATTAGTCAGGTGGATGGGCTCTGGCCAGATTCAGACCCAGGTTCCAGGGAAAAGGCCTAGAATCACAGTTTGCTGCTGTTTAAGAAGGAAAACCTATAATTCGTTGTGTTTCCCATTAGGTCCAATCGGGGGCAAGCATACATCCTGACGTCATTCCAGCCTGTGAACCTCCTACCCCCCCCCCCCCCCAGTGAGATCAAACACATCCAGCACAGTGGGTCAAACAAACTTCTTTAGGGGAGTGAAAACACGTGCCTTGTTATCACCCAAAAACAATGGCCTCCAGCAGTTCAGGAACTCTCTGTCCTTGGGCAAGGGGCACACAGATCCGAGGCGTTTTTGTTTCACGGATCTCTAAGGCACAGTAATTAAAACTTAAAATGTAGCTTTGGCTCTCACACCATCCAAACCCTTCGAAGGTAACTTTGGTAGCTCTGTGTATTCATAGTTATTCTGTGTGTTCGTAGTTATTCTCTGTGTGTTCATAGTTATTCTCTTGTAAAGTAATGAGAGTGACATTAAGAGTTCAGAACCCTAAAGCAAAGGAATTTTGCTTAGAGAAGTTTAGATCCTCCAAGAATTTCATGAGCCCTGAAGAGCCCTTTTGTGACCACTCTTCCCTATAGCTGAAGTTCCTTACGCTAAAGAAACTTGGTTCCCACAGGACTCTGCCGCGTGATTATCACGCAGAAACAGCCTCCACCAGCTGTCTCGTTTCCAGGTCTAAAAGGAAGGGAGCCTCTCTGAGACCTCTCCCTTTCTTTGCTCATTCATTGACCTCGCCTATGCTAGGCACCGAACCAGGTCCTCGGCACAGACACAGCCCTGGCACAACACAGGCCAGGCTATGCTGAGATTATTCAATCCCAGCCCCAAACAGTTCTCTGTTT